GTACTCCAAGTCAATGGAAAATTTTAAAAGGTAGAAACCAATATACTTATATCAGATAAAACAGACTTCCACCCAAGAAGACTGCAGGAGACAAAGATGTACATTATATAGTGTAGAGGGGCCAATATAACAAGAAGATAAAGCTATCATTATATATGCATCTAACATATCAGCACCAAAATAAATAAAGCAAATAGTAACAGCAATACTTAATGGTTGATATGAAAGACCAGATGCAGGATTATAAGGCCCTATGTTTTCCCTAAAGAGTTGGGTAAATCCCTGGGGAGACTGGAGTTGGATCATGGTGGCAGAAATTATTAGTTGTGGTCCTATTTATTGTGATACACACACACACACACACACACACACACACACACGTTTGCATTCCCACCAGCCAGTGCAGGAGATATATATATATATATAGTCACTACACCTTTTATTGCTGCTATAACTTGTGTTTTTTACTAGCAGATTCTTGCCTGGTTAAATGTTCTCTCCTATTCTGATGATGCTTCAGACTACCACTGTGGGTCTGTTACAGGGGTCCTGTAGATGCTGCTGCAGCAGGGTATAACCAGGCCAGATGGCCGACACTGGTGCCTTAGTGGCTGGTTTTGATGGCTCAGTGGCCAGGTTTATGGCCGACGCTAGCACCTCAGTAGCCAGGTTTAAGGGCTGGGCACCTTCAGGAGCCATGAACAGAGACAGGCTTGTTGCACATGCAGTGTGTGGTCCAGCCCTTAGCTCTGGCAGGTCAGCCTGGGCTGCATTCAGGCAAGTCTAGCCTGAATGGCTCCAATAGCTAGCCTTAGGGCTCCAATAGCAGCAGCTTCCTGAGTCCAGTGGAACCCTTAGATGAGCATCTGATCCCACTGAAATTGGCTTCAGGAACAAATCCCCTGTGCATACCATCACCAAGACCACCAGACCTCACTGTAGGTTTCACTTTTGAATATGACACCAGAATTGTAAATGGAACAGTCAGGTTCAAATGGCCAATGGATTAATTATGTTCAAGCTCTCACTGGTGTTATTCAAAGGCTTAGGGACCCTTCCAGACTGTAAATGGACCAATCTGAATGGAGGTGACTGACACCAATCAAACAGTTACAAACGTGAACCAATTAGGCTTGAAAGACAGGGATACTGAAGAGAATATAAGCCAGAACAACAGCCAGCATGAAACCATTCACCCACAGCTTCAGAAATGATTTGTCAGGATTCACCAGTACAGAGGCCTCCCCAGTCCTTCAAGACCTTTGCAGAGACTGCATCACTGCACCTGCCTTTGGCCCTGCCTCTGACATTGCTTACAAAGAGGACAACTGGCCTGTTTCTGGTGTACCTAAAAGAGCTGTTTGCTGTTGGCTTATGCCTAGTATATCAAAGAGCTGTAATATTGGCGCTATTCTCTGGTGTGACCACCAGCTGGCTGGTGCTAACCAATGCTGACCAGCACTGCTGACTTATGACCAGCACTGTTAACCTGTGTCCAGCCCCCTCTGAGTGTTCTCCACTGTTTCTGATCCTCTGGCACTGCCTGGTGCTGTTGTGTCCAGCACTGTCTGTTCCAGCATCCAGTGCTGTCCAGTTGGGCCTTTGGATTGCAGTTGCTGGCTGCTGTTGTTTGTCCCCTCAGTGGGTCCATCTGTGACCACCTCTAACTGCCACTGTGAGTTGGTGCCTGGCTCACTGCTTACTAGTGTGTCAGCAGCTCTAGTCACTTGTCAAAGGAACAGTGCTATCCTGCATAACAGCTTTAGCTCTGGAATACTGCACACTGGCGATATTATCAGTCAGACATTTGTGTCCTTAGAAATTCTTTTCTTTTCCCAATCTCTCCTTTGTTGTTGTACTCAAAGCCTGAGTGGTGTCTTACAATTGTGAGCACATGGTGAGAAATGAGTGACCTATCTGCCAACATTGATACTATTTTAAGGGGGGAATGTGTTAGGCAGCAGATAGTGTGTAGTGAGACTTAGGAATCTGCTCTGTTAAAAGATACTCTTCAGCGGTACGTAGCTATTAAGATGCAGGAAAAGAGAAAGAGATTCGTCTAGAGTTGGGATTTCATTACATTTGCAGAAGAACAAAAAAGTATATCTCAAATATAGCTAGAGTGGGTTTTTTTAATAAGTTATTTTTTTATTTCCCTTTTCCTCCCCCTCCTCACAGACTGTCTCTTATTTATAGTTGCTTGCTTTGTTGTCCTATTACTAGTTATATTTTTCCTGATCCCTTATTTGGTTTCCCTATATTCCTTCTATATTCGATATTTTTCTTTATCCTTCTGGTTTATTTAACTATGATCCCTTCTAACTTCATCCATGTTGCTGCAAATGGCATGAGACTATCCTTTTTGATTGCCGAGCTGTATTCCATTGTATATGCATATATGCACACACGTGTGTATATACCACACCTTCTTGATTCAGTCATCACTTTTTTTGGGGGGGTTGTTTCATAGCTTACCTATTGTAAAGAGCACTGCAATAAACATAGGGGTGCAGGTATCTTTTTGAATTAATGTTTTTTTGTCCTTTGTGTAGATTCCTAGAAGTGGAATTGCTAGGTCATATAGTAGTTCCATTTTTAGTAGCTAGAGTGTATTTTTTTTTAATGAACTATGAACTCTAACCAGGATAAGAAAGATGAAAAAGGATAATATGCCTAAAGTGATTAGGATAATACCAAGTAAAGAAAATGATAGTTGTATTACTACTAACCATGGTTTTCTTGCAGTGATTTCATCATTATAATCAGTACTCATTTTTATTTATCTAGCTCTTCTACTAGACTGAGTTCTTTGAGGATAAGAAGAGTGTATTATTCTTCTTTGTTTTCTTTTCAAAGTCAAACCTAGTAGCTACCATACTTTAAGTGAGTGATGGAGTCAACGAATCCCTATTAAGTCAATGAATCCTGTTTACAGTTATCCAGAAATTCAATACTATCCTCTCTCTGCCACCTACACCCCCCCCCACTAGGGCATTATAACCTTAACAATTCAGGCAATGTAGACACTTTCAAGAAAGGTTACTAGGAGCCATTATCAATACAATGTTAGAAACTTGCAAAGTTTCTGTTAGTTACTAGCTAAAAGCAGAATGATGGGAATTTTTCAACACTGTAAAAAAGACAATGAATTGACACATAAAATATGAAAATTGAGAATATATTTTCCTATTTTTAAGGGTTCATACCTCTATTTTTTATCTTCAGTACCTTAAATGTTTTCATGAAATGAGTAATCTGAAGCATCACCTACCCAATGCTGATCATATACATGAGTGAGGACTTCAAAGTATATACTACAAGGACACATAATCTGAGATATGGTCAGGCATATAAACTTCCTCTTTGTTTTTGGCAGATGGAAGACCCCCAAATAATGCACTTTTCTTAGTTTCTTGAGAACAATGAAGTTTTAAGTAAGAGTTCTTTTTATTTGTGGATTCAATCTTAAACCAAAGGTTTTTTTTTTTTTTTTTGTTACTGCTTAAGCTAATACAGTGTTCACTTCAGAGTATTCAAAGAGAAATTTATAGTTAGTAGCTTTAACAGTAGATAGGACACAATCAAGCACAATCTTAAGTGCAAGCAATGCTAAAAAAACTTTAATGTTTGAAAATACATATATATCCCAGAGAAAAAATGTCATCATGGGACACCAAGTCTCCAGTTTGAAACACTAAGTTATACCTAATAAGGTACTAAAATGACTAAATCACTAGGTTCAGTATTTTATGGGAAAATATTTGCATGAGTTCTTATCTGGAATGTCAAAACAATGCCTTATTGCTCTCATCACCTGTATTCCAACCAGTGGAAGTCAAAACAGGAAAGGCAGGTAAAGAATAAGATACTTCTTAGTCCAGTTTGACTCTCTCCATCACTCCCATTTTTCCCAATAAATGTCAGGTCTCTACTCTTTAGGTTTTTCTAAGGGCCACTGTAGACAAAAGAACACCAGCTCTGGTTGCATCCACATTCTCAACACCTTTGGGTTGTAAAGCAAGCAATTCAATTAAAACAATTTGTTTCATAATCATTAGACATTGAATCAGTTAAGAGAATGCTGAAAATATAAGAGAAAGACAAAATAATGAGATGTTTGGTACACTGAGAAAACAGGAGAGAGTGAGATACAATCCAAGGCAGTGTGTCTACCAGCAACAACTGGAAATCTTGCAGGGAGTCAAGAAAGTTTTCTTTTCCTTTATCCCTTTTACTTTAGTGAAAAGTTAAAATGATATATATCCCCATATAGGGAAAGTCCAGGGTGAATCCAATCTAGCTACCTTTCAGAGTAACCCCCAAAACAGATACATTTCCATATAACTACTCTCATTTGACCAACAGGTACCTCAAAATAAAATATTGATGTACAAGATTACCTATCAATTTAAAATTATGAACTTTTAATGATCTTTGATTAAATTTTTTTTAATGTTTTCCATATTAATTAGCACTGTCTAGTAAACGTCTGCTGCAGTTAGAGTATATACAAGTCTTGATTGTGATTTGGCTTTAAATGTCTTCTTTTTTTTTAAAGATTTATTTATTCATGCATATACGGAACTGGGGTATAGGCCAGAGGTGCAGGGGGTGAGATTCACCAGAGACAGAGTAGGGAGCAGAACAGGTAGATGTACTAAAATACACTGCTGAGGGGAGCAGTGGGCAGGTCAAGAGAGGTCTGCCACACCATGTGGGTCACTTCCTTGGCCCGGTATCGAACTCGTGCTGCAGTGGCTGTGATAGCTTCATAGTGCTATGCTTTAACCTGCTGCACCACCAGGGCCCTAAATGTCTTTTTAGACTAAAAATTAACTCAAAATTACCTGAAACAAAGGTCACTCAAACAATATACCAGTGAAATGTAAAATAGCTTGTATGTTCTTCTAAAGATTCAACCTGGTATATATAACACTCAATTCTTGGTTGTTTTTGTCTTTATGGGAACAAAATTACCATCGATATTAATATTGTGTTACCTTCATGATGTTAACTAAATCTGTTTGATAGTAGCGATCCTGGTGAGCATTTGCTGCTGCTAATGTAAGAAGATAATCATTCCTTGCATGGGTAGCTTTGGAATTACACTCAGATCGCCGGGCTTTTAACTAAAAGGAAATGGAAGAAAAAAGTTAAGTGCTGATTAACACTGCACTGCAAAACATAGGAGGATACTACTCTTAGCTGGTAATTAGTGACTCTCCAATAAGAGTGAACATAACTTTACAGAGAAACATTTATCTGCATATAAAAATTGTACTATTAAATAAAATGACCAGTACTGTTACACATGATAATAGTGTTTTTAAGTATTTGTTATTCACACTTAAGTTATTTATTAAATATTTGGCTCACTTTATTCAGATGGGAAAATAAAACATCCTGAATGAAGTACTTTATCTTCAAAAAAACATGAGTAAGTCTCTTGGAGTTGGAAAATAGTTTTGAAAAAAAATCAACACTCCTAATGTGCAGAAGAACATCAGGTTGTTAGCGTGGAACCTGGCAGCCACTCAGCTTACTCATCAGAAGGTCTATAGCTTGAGGGTCCACATTAAAAAGTCACTTGAATCTTGCCCAATTTACCTCTTCAGGGGTATAAATCTGAATAAAATGGAATTTGTAGAGCTTTCAAAAATGTGCACTAAGTCTCTTGGTTGATAGTTAAAGACAACAGACTAAGCAGGAAAAGTACAGAAATCTATCTCTAAAGCACTCTTGAGAAGCAAGTGGTACCCAAAGTACCACACCTGGGTGAAATCCCCCACACCCTGAAAGGGAAGGGAGAGTTCTACTCTGAGTTAATGACTTTCAAGTACTTCTTGAAATAAAGTAGAAATGATTGACTTCTATCCTCAAAAGACCCAACTCTTTTTTTTTTTTTTTAAGAAGTTAAGGGTTTTCAAGAATGAAATAATTTTCACAAACTTACCTTTACACTTGCCTTCTGTAAACTGATTCTTGATTGGAAAAGACTAAGTTTAGATCTATAATGAAAACAGAAATGTATGTTTAATAAAATGACCAAGTTATAACAAAAGGACCAAATACTATTTTTTAAAGTGACCACCTACCACAGCACTATTTTAAAAGAGAACTGAAAGATGAAAAATCAAGAGCAATATTTTTTCTTCATTTTACTGCATGAAGAATTTAATATTATGGCAAAACAGGAAATATTAGGGTCAATAAGATTTTAACACTGGTTTCACCTAAAAACAAGAGTCATTTAACTACAGGTTATCCCCAGAATCAAACAATTTTACAAACTTTAGTTCTTGCAAGAAAGGTTAGAGAAGCCCAGGATAATCAAACTATGGAAGCAAAGATTAGCAGACTTTCAGGGTCACATGTAATAGGCTGTAACACAGTAAAGTGTTCCACAATATGATACTGACCATGTCCTAGAAAGTCCTTAACTCCATTATTTCTTCAACTATAGTTCTTGTTTGGGTGCCTGCCTGTGTGCCCTCATCACTCCTAACATAGTATTCTGAACATAGTGAGAACAGGCTTGGACTCTGTTCTTTATGATTTTGTTCAATTTAATCTTCTCCCATTCTAGAATCTCTATTTCCCTTACAAACTTTCATTTTAGGCAGGTAACTGTATTCTCATAATCAGTAGTAAAAACATTGGGTTGTACTCAAACAACTAGAGATAACCATAAGGAGAAAATCAACACACAAATGGTAAGGAACAACCAACACTCCCACAACTGGGGATTTTTGAGGCTGCAATGTTTGTCTTGACTGAGGAGTCAGGGTGATTGCCATGGGAACTCAATGCATGTGCTGACAGCTATGTTATAATAGGAGATAAAGCTTCAGACCACGTGGGATTGGAAGAGTGAGCAGCAATTCTCTATAGAGCAAATGTGAAGAGGACAGACAGCCTCTCCTCTTCCAAACGAGAAAGAATCATTCAAGGGACATACACATACGTATTGCAACTACTTCCCATTGTTAAAAAAAAAAATAACCTGGGTCTTAGATATCCCTGTTATTTTTAACCTCTCCCTAATATTTCATGGGGTTTTTTATTTTTATTAATCAGATTAAAAAAGGATAAAAAACAATTTGGTCTAGAAAAGCAAAGTCTACAAATTTTAAAATTTGAGGCTGCTTGGACAGAGTTAAGAAATGCTATATTTGGGGTGTTCCCAATTTTGTTTCTGTAATCATTTTCTAAACAGTCTGAATTGCACTTGGATGTTCCAATCAGGTTTCTGGCTTTGGCTTTATTTTCTAATTTTCATATATTTCTTGTGTGTTACTAAATTCACTATTAATTATAGAAAGAATATAGTTTCCATTCTCAAAAATTATAACAAAGAATAGGATATACAAATAATGAAATATACTGCATGCTCCTATGCTTCATTCACTTCCAAATATTAATGTTCTGTAGCCTTCCAAACTTAACTGTTCATCTCATTTTATGTATTTCAACCATATAACTATCATCTGATAGATAACTAACCCCCAAAGCTAAGTCTTCAGGCCTAAATTCTCATTTTAAAAGTCAAATTTAACTCTCTGCCAAGTGTATTTGGACATCCTAATGCAGAGGTTCTTCCAAATTGACATATTCAAAGTAAGTTCATCCTTCCCTTCAAATGGCAACCTTCTCCTTCTATGTGCGCTGCTAATGTGCACAGCTCACCATCTACCAAATCACATATCAAAACTCTGTGCACCTCAGTTTTTACTTCCCCGTCCTTATTTTCCTTCTCAATTCTACTGAGAAAACTCATATTCACTCTTTAAAACTGCCCAACTCCATTTATTCTAAGGTTTCTTTTTCACGAGGCAAAATTAACCTATTTTCTTATGCTCACAGAACAGTATTTTCATACAATTACTGTATATAAATTAGCTACCAGGTGACTGACTTTAAGAACTTAATTGCTTTGAGTATACCCTAACAAACAAATCATAGTTACTTTTAAGTGCATTTGTCTCTAAGTCCAGGCTTTAAACTCCTTGAGGGCAAAAAGTTTATCTTAGTCATCTCTGTAACCATAGTATCAAATATAAATTATTCAATAAAGATTGAGTGAATGAATATGAAGATCACTTTTTACTCTGTAGTTGAATTAGTTTTTTTTTTTTAACTTTATTTATTTATGCATTCAAGAACTGTGGTCTAGGCCAGAGGTGTGTGTGTGTGGAGGGGAGTGGGACGGGGATGGGTGTGTGCGTGTGTGTGAGAGGATTCACCAGAGACAGAGTAGGGAGCAGAACAAGTGGATCTATTGACATACACTGCTGAGGGGAGCATTAGGCAAGACAGGGGAGAGATCTGCTGAGTCATTTGTCTTAGCTCCGTGGCAAGGGATCAAACTCAAACTGCAGTGGCTGGCAAAAGCTTTATAACACTAAGACTTTGACTTGGGAGGCTCGATAGTTGAATTAGTTTTCCTGAAAAGTTGAACACTGAGCTAAAATGTCTAATTTACTGTACCTCCTTTGAATTTGGAACTGATAAGAATGGAGTTCCTTGAGATTAGCATCTGTGAATTAGATTCTGTCAAAGCCATACTTCTCAGAACACTGCCTTAACTTTTGTCACTGTCACCCTGTGAGCTTTGGCTAAAGTAGGTATTTATAAATGTTCCACACATCTGTCAACTTTCTGTTCTAAAATCTCTGAGAATTTTAGAAAACAAGTTCCTAAAGATAGGGACTTCATAAATCATAACAGGAACTTCACAGACCACATCATCTAAAAACTTCAGATATTATTGGGAAGATGAGTTCAATGACTATGAAAATATAAGTGAACATTTGTATATTCACAAAAATAACAAAGAAAGCAAATGAGGAAAATAGTTGTATCCCAGTAAATGTTAAATACTTTAAAATAATTCACTTACTGTAACTTGTTACTAAATAAACTTTCCAGGAGCACCTGAATTTTCATAAGATGTTTGAGACTGCTTAATTTCTTGTAGACGAAAAATCATTACCGATATACATACCCTTCCTTACTAGTAAGTCTGTGTCAGCATTTAAATCCTTTCTGATGCCAGGACTATGAATTTAGACTTTTCTACATAACTAAATTACAGAATGGAGTCTTAGCATTCCTTATCAACCCCTTTAGAGTTCTGCTGTTTAACAGTTTTACTTTTTTTCCAAAATTTATCTTTCTTCAATTTTTCATGTAAAAATCTCTACTGCTTGCTTTATATTTCTTTCTAGTACCAACTGTTAGTTCCTTATTTTCATAAGCTCAAAACATAGAATTTGCAATTCATATGTATTGAAACTAAAATTCATAGTTGCTAAAGCATGCATTTAAAAAAGTATATATATCAGAGATTCACATAGTGAAAAAAATATGCCTGGGGCAGAAAGGATTTTTTATATTGAGATTCATTGCTCTTTTTCACTTAATATGTCTATGTTCCTTCTGTTCCTTAGTGGCATGCTGAAGATTAGGGAATTCTAACTTCAATTAATTTAGAATCTAGCATGAGAAAAATGAAGCTCTTAAACTCTGATATTCAGACACAATAGCCCTTTAACTAGACTTCTGCTAACCTCTCAAGGAAACAATGCTTGTCTTCTTTCCTTTTCAAAAATCAATTTAATGTGAAAACTGATCAAGTATTTCCATTGGCTATATCAATTTAAATAAAACCAGTCAATATAAAAGAAAAATTTGATCTAAAGTATGTAACATTTGTAGGTAAAATAAAGCCAATATAACTTATTAAGTCTATGCACTGTACTAACAAAAAACAGTGCTGATGAATAACATTATGGTGCTGGGCATGGCAAGGTAACACATATTTGTAGAGGTTGGAACTTATACCCCTAAAACATATAGAGCTATATAGATCAACGTTACCTGAAAAAAAAGTGAAAAAAATCCAAATACTGGCAAAGATAATATTTATTTGCATAATGACTTTCAGAAATGCTAAAAGACATACTTTGCCTCGATGTCAGCTTTTTCTCGTATTGCCTGAGCCATCTGTTCAGTCTCAAAGTACTTCTTTTTGCCTTTAGCTAAATCTTTCACTGTCTCTTGTAATTCAGTTTGAATCTTTGTCAACTGGTCCACACACTGTAAAATATAAAGTACAGTTATAAAGACTTTACTTTTCAAGCTTACAGGATTTGTCCTAAAGGACTATGCATAACATGAAAACCCAGGATAAGGACCAGCACTTTCAATGTCCTTCAAATTGCAAATTAAAATCCATGAAACAGCTAGTGCTCCCATATCAAGTAAAGTATAGAATAATGTCAGTTTGTTTAAATAACTCTGTTTTGAAAAGTAACCTTTAAGTGTTGTCAATGACTAATACCAAGATAAGGCATAAAAACCAACAATGAAACTGCTCTAACTGTAGGAGACACCATGGCAATAAAGGAGAAAAAAATCCCACAAAACAATTCTGTATCTCTTATTAATCTTATGCAAAGGATACTGAAGAAATTAACATTGGGAAAGAAGGAGTGAAAATCAAATTGCATCAATTTTGGAAAAAAAATTACAAACATTACATATTTGAACTTAACAACTTTGTAACTAAGGTCTCTAGTAGCTCTCTGTAATCATACACTGGTTAGTACTCTGCATTATGTGTGTGTACCTATGCTAATATACAAAAAAACTAATAATCTTCTGAAACCAAATAAATCCAATTACTGGAATTAAGCTGAAAAGTGATTTAAGAAATATTTACTCAGCTTTCAAATGTCCACAGATTCAAATTACTCACCTTTGTCAATTAAAAAAATACAGTAGTTAGAGGGAATATGTTGAAATCAGAAACAAATAGAAAAACTGACATTGTTGAAAGGAATTTAACACAAGCTTGCAGATTTTAAATGTTGTACTGAGATAGTAAAATGTACATGAGAAAAGAATAAATATAAACAATACCCTCTTAAGTTGCTGTTCTTTTAAGCTTCGCACTGTCCTTGCAGGCTCAGAAATGAAGTTTTTATAGTTTTCACACATATTGATCCGGGACTGAGCTACTTGCATTGTTCCCTCGAGAAAAGATTTCCAAACAGGATACATGCTCCTAAGTTCAACATGGGACAGAAAAGTATTAGGCAGGCAAAAGGTAGGGAGAGGTTAAGCTTTGACTCACTGAGCAGCAATGACAAATAAAATGAATGCTTGTTTCACAGTTGTGAGTGTATTTATTTGTAGAAACACAGCATATACTCTGTTCCACCATTATTGTTCAACAATAGACTGTTTTGATTCATTAATTTTTCCTGAGAGTAAAGTGATGTAAGCATTACAATTCTTCACAAAGCTAACACTATAAAAATTATTGAGCAGGTCACACTATCCAGGCTTTTCATTGTCTCAGGGTCAGAATTATGAACATAAAATTCTGTTATTTCATTTTCCTAATTTTACATATGAGAAAATGGAAGCTTTGAGAGATTTAGATAATCATTCTAGATTACCCAAGACAGTAGCAGAAAAAACTATTACGAATTGTGATGATAAGGGAGGAAGTGAGGAGGGACACAAAAGGAAAAAAGAGGAAGGAAGGGAAGAGCGGAGGAAGAATGCCGCAGCATGAGACACAGGTTAGACTAGTTATCTCCAACATATATTCTCTACCCAACTACTACTATATTACTGTCATATAAACTGACGTGGCTGGAAAATAATATCATGAATAATTGTTTACGTTCTTGACAAATCTATTTGTCTGACAAAAGAGATCTATGCTATGATTGCTCTACAGCTATTTTTCTGCTGCAATAATGCTTAGGCAGCATCACATTGTGTCTTGGAGTCATTCCAAGCAAGTCCCATCAATTTTGCGTTGTGCTCAGCAATCTTGGTAAAGTGAAAGAATTATTCATCCTTTGCTTTCTATAGCCAACTTCCTTTTCAAACCTTCTTGTCTAGTTTGCTAAAAGTTTGAGTGAGTTCAAGTATACTCCTACACTAGTTATACACATATTTTATAACTTATAACTATGGGTGGCACTTTAAGATTATAATATTCATCTCCTGAGATATCCATTCTGCTGTCAACTAGGTTTCTGTTACAGCAATGTGTGAGACCATATGCTATATAAAATGCTATGTGTGGGTCAATGAAGACAAGTTAAAAACAAGGGGGAATAAAAGTATGGGTTCCTATCTTACTAGAACAATAAAAACCTCAAAACTATTTTTCAATCAAGGAAATGACTAGTTTATGCAATGGGTTAGTCTGTATAATATATCAAATGAAACAATTTAGATAGGAATTATTTAATCAGAGGTATATCTTCGTCCCTTTGCAAAAAAAGATGCAGTGTGCCTGCAAAAACTGCCAGCAAGAAAACAATAATAGACTAAGGGACAGCAAGTTAATGTACTCTGTTCTTATTGTATAATCGACAATCAATGGAACTAGGATGTAAGCTTACCACAGTCCTCCTAAGCATGACAAAAAATTTTCTCAGAGACTGTTCTGACAGAAAAAATTGATACTGTTTTGTAACTACTGATTTATATGTAAAATATAGTTTAAAACATAATGAGCAAAAACATGAACTGTGATGGGAAGAGTGGGGGGAGAGAGGTGGTGGAGGGAGGTAAGGAAAAGCTTAGAAGAGAAAGAAGGGAGAAGGAAGGAAAGAAAAAGAATTCCTTTATTCAAGCTTTTGCTTTATAGTAACCATGTCTTCCTTCCCTTTCATCAATTCACCTCGTTGACTGCTACTCACCCTTTAAATCTCAGTTTAAGTATCACTTTTTTAGGAAATATTTCCTGATTACACTCAGTCAATTCAGAGAATCAACCAAGTCCTTTTCTGTTATGTGTCTACATGGCTCTAGCACAGTTCCTTCAATCCTAAGTATTGCTATGTAACTGCTTAATGTCTGTCTCTCTCATTATAGTGAAAATTTCCTGGAGTGTGTCTTTCTTACTATTGTATTCCTAGGGCCCATCACATGGCCTAGCATCTAAAAAGTTTATGTTATGTACAGAATGAAAAATTAGTGGATGGATGAATGTATAAACTGTGAGAACTGTACAAATAAAAAAAAAACTGTCATATGGTGTTTTAGAAAATCTTTAGCAATTAATAGAACTATGGCAGGCAAACAGTCCCTCAACAACAAGGTACCATGAAAGCATGGAATTGAGTTAATCCAGTCAGAAGACCTCAGGTCAAGTTCTAGTTTAGCCAGTATCATCATATGTGGCATATCTCATATTTTCATTTCTTCAACCAGCAAATGGAGAAGTAAAAACCCCAAATACCTGCATTGTCTACCTTAGAGGTCTATTTTAACCATTAAATGCAAATGATGTGCAAATTATTGGCACACATATTCATTTAAATGCTACTATTGGGCCCTCCCTGGTGGTGCAGTGGGTTAAAGCACCACACTAAGAAGCTAAAGTCACTTCAGCATGAGTTTGATCCCAGTCCTGGAGGTGACCACATGGCATGGCAGATCTCTCCTGACCTGCCCACTGCTCGTTCAGCAGTGTTCTTCATCAGTCAGCCTGTTCTGCTCCCCACTCTGTCTCTGTTGAATCCTCTCACCACCCCTGCACCTCTGGCCTGTACCCCAGTTCTGTATGCATAAATAATTAAATTTTTTTTTAAAAAACACTACTATTAGAAGTAGTAGAATGTAGTAGAATTTATTACATGATAGTTTCAGTGGTAGTGGGTTTATTTTGACTGGGGAAAAATGATAATGGATTATACAATGATTTTAATGTTTCTTTATTTTACTGGTTTCATATGAGGTAATTTTGAAACAAAAATAAAGGCATCTATTATTTCTAGCTATCGTGCCCTCTGCTAAGCTATCAGTCAGTCTTTCACTGAGAAGAACTATTAGGGTTTCTTGTACATCCTTCAGTTTTCTAGCCCTATCAAGAACTTATCTGATGATATTGGTCTTCACTGACACCTTGATTTCATATACAGAATCTACCTGAACTCTTCAATACTGAGTTCTTAACTTCCCAGGATGTTCTATTATCTCATGAATATTAGCCTTAACTCCAACCAGATTGCAAGCTCTATCTGATCTTTGAGTTCAGGCCACTCAGCACTAACCACTAGACCTGAACAAAAAAGCCAATAACTTTCAAATTAATCTCAAAAAGGATATCAAATTTATAAATGCTTTAAAGTTACTTGTAGGTCACCAATGACACAATTTACATTTCATTGTAATCTATTTTCTTTAAAATATGCACACAAAATACTAAACAGCCAAATTCTGGATACGTGTACAGGTGTGTGTGTATGACACCTTTCATTAGACTCACACAATCCCCCATTTCCAAAACAGAATTTGTTACAGGAGTAAGGCTTAATGATCATGGTAGAAAACTCACTACGTCATTATTGTACCAATAATGCGCTTCATCTCTAGATCACTGAAGAAATGTATGTTTCTTATCAACATTACTGAAATTCTATATGTGGGTAGTAATTAGTTAAATACAGTATTGTCTTGGTTCAGTACATATAAAAGTGATCTATTTTACATTAACATTTTTTTTATAATTTTGAAATTATGTCAAAAACAACAGAGGAAAGGAAAGAAGCTTTATAAAAATAGATCCTATGTTATCTTGTGACATGGTTCTGAATGCAAACTTTTAAAGAAAATGGGCAAGAACTATTTATAGGTTACCTGTAATCATTTCGATCATCAACTTTTATTCCAGGCCAATCTCTCTTCAGATACTGACTGGCCAACTTCTGGATGCCCTGTTTAAAACAAAACAACAAAGCCATGTATATACATAGTTCATGGGTTAAGAATTGTGCTTAAAACATAAATCATAAACATGTATTTTGTCACCAAGTAAGATCTTTCCCTTAAAATATATTACTTAACAAACCAATCTTTCCAGATGTAGATTTAATTCAGACATAAAGATAAATGACAGAACACTATGGTCTTATTACATTATTGTCACAGTCTTTTGTTTTCTCCATTTCTAGGAGAAAGGGTGAAGAAAAGGATAAGAAAATTGAAACTTAATTGCTTCTTACATCACCAAATTATTTGACCAATCAGCTACCTCTGGTATATCACAAGGAACACAGCTATCAACGTCGACAAAGTTCTGATTACTCTTTTTGACATCTTAATTTCCCACCATTCCTCTGCAATGGCATGAATTGCATTTCTATCTTATCAGTCAAATACTCATATACCAGGAAAGGCCAATGTATCTGATTTGGAGCAGACACATACACATTGGTTTATAAAATTAATGAACAAACTTTAGATGAAATCATATTTCATAGAAGTAATTTTCAAGACAGATTTTAAGGGTCTTTCTTTTAAATAAAAATACAGCCTAAATCACTTGAAGTGAAAAATATAGTTTTACACTAAAAAGTTAAGAACCATGCCCACTTGTTATCCATACAACATGAATCTAGAAACCCATTATCTAAGTCTATTTCTTAAAGTAGGTAATATTGGTATTGGTATTTGAATAGAAGAGACTTTTTTTTTTGGAAATGATGATAAACTAGTCACTCTGACCATCTAACTTTTCAATGAGTACATATGTTTTCTCCTAAGACTGCAACAGGACCCAATGTAATTGTTTTAAAATATCACAAATCTTGGGATACACCCCACACAACCTTAAAAAGAATAAACAGGGCTGACCCTGGTGGCTCTGCAGGTTAAAGCACAGCACTAAGAAGCTAAAGCCATTTCAGCATGTGTTTGATCCCTGCCCCAGAGGTGATCCACATGGTGTGGCAGACCTCTCCTGACCTGACAGCTGCTCCCCTTAGCAGTGTACCTCATCAACCTGCCTGTTCTGCTCCCCACTCTATCTCTGGTGAATCCTCTCACCACCCCTGCACCTCTGGCCTGTACCCCAGTTCTGTATGCATAAATAAATAAATCTTTTTTTTAAAAAAAAAGGATAAACAGCTGAGCTGAAGAACAATCACATTAATTAACAGTCTGCCTACTTAAAGCATATATTGCCTGAGTAAAATCAAAGTTGCACGCTAGATATGGTACCAGTCTATGAGGATTTACTGTCAATAAATTTCATTTAGTTAAATTCATTATTGTATGTTTTGTTTACCTTTATTTGAATGAGCTGAAAGGGTAGCAGAGCTGCAGAATTTCTTTGAATCTCAAGTTCTTACTGAACTTGACAACAGTATGGTTCCTTACTTCCAGAAACTGTGTATGCTGGGAACTTCTTACAATTGCATATCCACAAGAATTCCCATTTACATGCTTTGTACTTTGGGGAACCCTGTCACTAAGTCTTTCCCTGAAAGTGCACAATATTTCTTTATCTGGCCCTAGTTCATAATGTTCCTATTTGCATGAAACTTGAGGAATTCCTGCCTGTTGAATTCTCCCCTCCCTTAGCTTGATATATGTATCTCCCAACACAAAATATTTAAACATAGGTAGGCAGATAGACAGATGAGAATGTGAAATGTTTTATTGCCTAGGTATTAATTTCATTTCATTAAAATAGGACAATTTATCCTTCTTTCTGCATATACTATCTGAAATTCTTTAATACAAAGCCATCCCTCCTAAATCATTTGGTTATCCTGAGGAACAATACCTAGAGGAAAGACAAGATTAAAAACTTGACTGCTCAGTTTTGGTGCAAAGATGAACAAAGAGTATTTTAAGTAACACTATGAACTCATACATTTTGAATAACAGATGTGTTCCAATTTATTGCAGTCACTATTCTTTTGATGCTCCAATTGCTACATCTGAAGTCAGTGGGGGGTTCCTCTAAGTTAGCTCTCATGTCATGACCCTGATAGACTTTGACAGTTTCTTTGTTTTCTTTTAGTTTCTATTCTAGATATGCAGTACACTCGTTTTCCAAGAATTCTAATTCCTTTCTGAGAGAAACCATATTTTTAGAGAACTACACTCTGTTTTCTTATCCTTTTGTCTTACTTTGTGTCTTTCTCTAAGAGGCCCTCTCTGTTCACTGTATACAAAGTAGCTCATGCTCAACCCAGTTACTCTCTTACACCATCCTCCTCATTTATGACTCTTACACAGTTCCTATATGGTTTAAGTATTTGTCTCTTTACTGAAGATAAACCCCATCAGGTTTATCTTAACTATGTTTTACATTTTTAGTAACTAAGTCTCCAGTGTATAGTAAAGAGTCAAGCATTTGACTGACGCCAACAATATTCACTGGTTATATGAATAAATACCACTTAATTATTTTAGTTCTAATGTATAATATCTAACCTCCTTCTGTAATTTTACCAGAATTGGAAATGTTAGGATCAAAATTACTGTGGTCCTTTGTTTGCATATGCTCAGAGAAAAAAAAATTATACCATATTTATAAGATTATGAACAGGTGGTTTTAATACAAGAAATAAGTACTTCAGTAAAATTAGTCAAATTTCACCATCTCCACTATTGGAGAAAACACATCTGTGGATACTCTAAAGTAATGAGAAAAAAAGAAAACAACAGAATTCTATACTTAGAAAGCACAACACATTGATTTCTCTAAAGGTTTGGTTATATCAAGACCCCTGAATTAAAAGAATTAATAATATACACTCAGGAATAATAACTATGCAACAGAAAAGGAAAGGCAACATGTAGGAAACTGTCAAACAAATGGTAATATGTAGTAAATACCCAGATGAGGAAAAGACCGTATAATTTTTTAAAACAAATTATATCCACATGATATGAGAGTGACCTTTTTAAATTAATGGCTTGCTATAGTGGCTACCTATCATTTCCTATAGAACACAATCTGATATGAGCCTCACATGAGTAGAACTAATATGACAGAATAAGAACATTCTATATGTACAGATAACAAACTTTACAAGCACTTTTACAAAATTATTTCTCTTCATTGGGCTTTGTTAAAACCACAGACAAACTGGACATTGATAAGGGAGATAATTTACCTCAAAACAACTAGCTGACACAAAACTTGTTATGTCTGAATTAAAATCCCAAGTTAACTTTCTAAATCTTTGCCCCCTTCCCCCAAAAAACCCATCCCATCATTTTAGAGTGAATTTTGTCTCTTTTAAAAATTCTTAAATTACTTTGACTTATCTATTTTTGTACATTATAAGTTGCAATAGCAATCTCTGGAGCTCTAAACTACAAAGTTGAACTGTACTAAACTGAATGAGCCTTTCAGAGATGTGATGAGGGATTCATAAAATAGACAAACAGATCTTTAGATGAAAGACTTTATTCAAGTTAGTGCACAGAGGCAGGAGTCATGACTTCTGTGTGCTCTATGCAGCTGTTCAAGATCTAATCTGTATGGATATTGAAGAAATACTCCGTGTTCATTAAAGGAAAGTTCTTAAATAATGTTTCACATCTCTGAAAGCATTCTATACTCAAATTAACTGGTTTCCTTTTTATTTTATGCTTAAATGTATATCCTATGAATAAAAGGACTACTTATATAGAAAATAAAACTAACTAAATGAAATGGCTAAAAAAAAAAAACTTACTGCTGTCAATTTCTTTAAAAAAGAAAACCTTTTATAATTACTCAAAAGTGGTGAACTAGACATATAAAACCTATTTATATTTACCTGAATATCACTGAGGTATAATGTTTTGATTTGATTTCCCACAGAGTTTACTCTGGAGCAGTGGTTTCCATAAAAATGTACTATCAATATACTCTTTGGAACATCCAATAATGTCCCATTCCAAAAAGCCATCAGTGTCTTTTTCAAAAAGCCATCAGTATCTAATGTAAGACTTGCTTGTTTTACCTCTCAATAACACTTACTATATTGATCTAACAAATGAAGTGACACAAAGGAAGCCACTGTACAGTGGACACTAGGAAATGGACTGATGGCTTAACCTTTTGCCCATTTACCACAGCAAACTGAGCTAGAGTATGCCCCTCTGGCTCTGACATGGATTATTATTTTGTATTGATTTCTTCCTTCAATATACAGAGAAACTAATATTTAAATTTTACTAAAGGTATACCATCAGATGGACCTTCAAAATTATAAGAAGCCATGTTTTTATGTACTGTATACCTTTCTGCCATGAAATTCTCAACATTATGAAAATTACATTTAAGCAGTAATAAGTCCACTGCAAAAGTTGGATACTTTTCAAACTGATGTAAATTACAAATGATTTACTATTCTTATGTTATTTTAATAGTAATTAAGAACTTTACCCCTACCCTAAAATAAAGTTTTGAAATATTGTTCATTGCTTTGTGTGGCATAAAATCAGAGTTAAAGCTAAAAAATTGATTTAAGTATATTATTTCAAGTTACATAACAATTGTATTTCCTGACTTTCCTATTAATTTCATGATGAGATAAAATAGTAAAGCTGGCCCTCCCTGGTGGCGCAGCAGGTTAAAGCACAGCACTGAGAAGCTGAAGCCACTTTCGCATGAGTTCGATTCCCGCCTGCCCGGGAGGTGACCACATGGTGTGGCAGACCTCTCCTGACCCGCCCGCTGCTCCTCTCAGCAGTGTACTTTGATGATCTGCCTGTTCTGCTCCCCACTCTGTCTCTGGTGAAGCCTCTCACCACCCCTGAGCCTCTGGCCTGTACCCCAGTTCTGTATGCACAAATAAAAATATAAAAAAATATATATAAAAAATAGTAAAGCTAATATATGTTAAATAAAACTTCCCCTTTTATCAAAAATAAAGATTAATTTGTTTAAATTAATTAATTAAGAATAAGAGCACATGATACTTCAAAT